CCGCAGTGTACGTTCCCCGTAACATTCGCAGTTCAATAACGCTGAAGATAGTTTCAAATCGTCACTAAAAAAATGAACTGTTACACCAATAAAATTTTCATGTTTATAGATGTCCATGAATCTACGGTTAAATTTGCTGCACTTACATACTGCATCCGGTTCTTTAATTTTTCAAGTTCGGAAAGATAAAGATTCGGTATGATAGTCTGAGAAATTGTTTTTCTCGTGGGCAGAGAATATCCTGGGTTTAACATGTTGACGAACTTTTTGAATTCCTTATCTTCCACAATTGAAATGGGTTGGTACTCTTTGACAATCATCCGCACTAACTGCAAATCTAAGTTTTTTGCTTTTGACGAGGGGACAGGCCGAACAACATATTCTCGCAGTGTACTCGACGACACAGGATGTTTCAAATGTACTGCAGTATTTACCCGCTCATCTTGCATGTTTGATGTTGCCGGTTGTGGTTCAAGAAGGTGAGGCACATTATCCAGATTTTGTCCGTCAGCAAGTGGTCCTTGTATCTCTCGTTCAGCAACAGTTTTAAGAGTAGGGTGCTTAGCTTTCATATGTCTTGACAAATTTCCTAACGAACCACTTGCAATGCTGATGTTTTGGCTACAATATTTGCACTTTGCTTTTAGGTTTCAGATTTATCGAAATGGTTCCAAATTGCACTTCTATTTCTCCTCTCCATTTTCAAACAAATTTTCGGTCGTCAGGTAAAATGGAAAGTTCAAAATTTCACGCTCGGTCCTTCGATCCTACCAGCTTCCCACGTCCTTATCAACACGCTACAGCCTACGGTGCCGGCATGGTATCGGCGCACGCGTGAGCGATCGTGAACGAGAAAGGAGTATTGCCAAGTGTACAGAACTTTAGCCATATCTAGGATTTGTCAACTAGGGAACATAATTAAAGACGCTTCAGATGTAAAATAAAGTTGTCATTTTATTTAGATGCGTATTATTGAGCAGCAGATACTATAATTTTTCACATTTCAGATGTACTAAAAAAAAGAAAGCAAACTAAATATGGTATTCCTAGCGATCATTCATCCAAATATCAACCGTGCCGGATGCTGCTTAGCCCCTATAATAATAATAATGATAATAAATATAATAATAATAATAATAATAACAATAGTAATAATTTTTTTAACAAAGCTGAAATGTAGACAACAAATGCTATCTACTGCTCGAAATTGAATAAAGCATCTAGTAAAGCTGTTGAAATTTATCATATTATAAACGGGATCGGCAACCATGTCTACTGTCTACTATAGGCTGTATATGCGTTGCGTAATATATTTCGTTCGCGAACTAGATGACAACGTGGTCACCTTTAACCGTTAATGTTGGTGTCTGTTTGTCTAATTTCGTCGTGAACTATTTCCTGAATGTTTTTGGAGTATTGACACACAGTTCCACCGACTCGAAAAACGTCATACGTCTTGTTAGGTTCGATGAGGATGGCAACCTTCATTTCTCTACACCGTCCATTGAAATTGTCGCTCTACCCACAGCCTTCAAGATTCGAGTGGACGTTGGGAATTCCAGATGCCACTCTTAACAATGTGGATAAGCCGTTAGCCAAACCAAGACGAATTGAATTACTAAGGAGCTGTCAACTGTATGGTATCCGAGGGTCCAATACTAATGGACAAGGTGGAATATGTTCATAAATGATGTCTATAAGATAATTGGTGCTTGTTCCCGGAAGAATAGTACTCACGCCATCTGCTGAACTGTAACAACACATTTAATACGAGTGGCCTCATAAGGTTTGCTTTAAAGTTGATTATGATGTTTATGTTATCCGGCGTTGAAAGTTTAGATGTCGCTAATAGCGTCCGCTAAATTCTATCAGCGGTCTAGTGCGATGTGTGTTGCCGAACTTACCGATTTTGTGTTATTAAAACCAAAGATCTCGATTTTATGTGGTATTCCACATTCCACTGCCAATAATGAGAAAAATTGAAAAATTCCTTACATAAAGTTAAATTCATATGAGACATTTTGCAGTATTTAATAGTTTTACAGGACTTCTGATTTCACTAACGTTTAAGTATTCAGTTGTTTAGCAAGATTTTCTATTACTGCTGGTCATTAAATTGATCTTAAAGTTCATAAAAGGTGTTCCTTCTCCAAGCCAGTGGATTTCAAAACTTTATTATGCAAAGTATTTTCATTTATTCAACCCGTTTGAGTCATCAGAGAGTGCTCCTGAAAAGCTATCATGTCAAAGATTTCCTGTCAGTTACTTAATTATTGTGTATACTATCAAGCAAATTATGCTGAAATACCATTATTTTACCTATCTTTTCAAAACACTTATGGTAGCAGGACATAAAATCCTATAAGCAGGTTTGTAAGTATATTATATTTATATCAAGCTGGACCTCCCTGAATCTCAATGTTGTAAGCATTAAATCTGTTTATGATGTCTTTTGTGTTATCTTACTCGATATAGAATGGATATAAATACAAAATTTTATTTGAAGGATATTTTGTTAGATTTGATTATTAAAGTCATAGTTATGGTATTTTTTGGAGGCCAAGTTTACATTATACATATACTTTATCTGAAGTCACTTGAAATAGCATAAAAACCTTTGGTCGGCGCGTGCTTTGTAATTTCATGACGTATCATAGGCGTGCGGTCATTTATTTAGAACGATAATAATAATGTTTTTATATCACAATAAATGGATTGTACTATCTTCTTATTTTTTGATTTGGGATAAAAAATACTTATATTGGGAGTTTAATTTATGTTGACTGAAAGTTAAGAAATGGAAAAATTACAGAATTCCAACGTTTGACATAGGCAAATATTTACATAGCAGGTAGGTATATAAAAAGGTATATAAAGACTTACATTATAGGTATTTATATATCATCCTCGCCTTCGGAGCTGTCGCTAGAGTCACCTTGTAGAGGAATTACAACGGGATTTACAGGAGGCAAAACACAATATTCATTTTCTTTTTCAATAATATGCCTAGAACACTGCTTCCATAGGTCTGTGGCAGCAATATGAGATACTGCATCTCTTATTGTGGCCAATAGCGATTCACTTAATTGAGGGGTCTGATTATGTTTTCTTACTTTTTTTTTAAAGCAGCCCAGACCAACTCAATCGGGTTAAAAATGCAGTAATAGGGAGGTAGACGTAATACTTCATGGCCATTTTGCTGAAGCAGATTGTCAACAACATACTCTTTTTCAAATTTTTGTCTTTTAATAAGATCCAATAATATGGCTTTGGTTGATTTTTGTGGTATTTCCATTCCCTTATCCTTCATAAAATCAATAATGTCTTGTTTTTTTGTGCCTGTATTCGGAATTTTGTTTTTCTGTCGGGAATGGTATGGCGCATTGTCCATAATAATCACTGAATTTGGGGAAATGTTTGGTATTAACTGCTGCTCTATCCACTTTTCAAATAAGTCGGAGGTCATGTCCTCATGATAGTCGGCACATGATTCTTTGATATTTTTGGCAGATAACAGCAAGGCATTAGGTATAAATCCATTTTCACTGCCAGCATGGAGAATAATGATTCGTTTTCCACGGTTGCATGGTGCATTTAAAATGCACTTGTTGCTGTCGTCAACCCAGCCGTACTGCACAACATCATGGGTATCATACCACGTTTCATCCAGGTAAATCAGATTTCTTTTCTGCTCTCTATAGATTTTAACTTTGTGCAAAAATTCTTGGCGCAATTCAACGATTCGAGACGACTCCATAATCACCATTCTTTTATCTAATTTTTTGTATTGAAAACCACACAGTTTTACAATACAGTGCAGTGAGTCTAAGCATTTGTAATTATAAAAATCTTCAGGATAATCTTTTAATTTATCCCGTATCATTTCCAACGAGGGCACCAAATTTTCTTTATAAAATCCGTATATTATACGACGAATATCTTCCTGAAAACCCACGTCTATTCATTTTAATTTTTGCCCTATGCGCTTTCTGTGGAAGGAATGGTTGACTACATCTCCCCTTTTTATAACCCGATAAATGGTAGACCGACTGATTTTTGTCAGGATACAAATTTTGTTTAAAATTTGATTTTGCGAGGAATCTGGATTTTCGTTTTTCAGACAATCATACATATTTAGGATTACTCTTTGGGTCTGTTCCTCTAAATCTTTATGAAAGAATTCTGCCTGCACAGGTTCATCAACCATCTCCTCGTGGCTTGGAGCATTTTCCCAAGGTCTCCAAAGAGCCATATTTAGGACACACAAGAACAATCAACACAACAATTAAATCAACAAGTAAACTGAGTATTCAAAAGTCAAAAACACACAAACTAATAAAATCTATGAAAAAACACGGACAGACTAAAGAAAACACGTTTATTCACCGCTACACGGCACTGGCTAAACTGTTTCAATTTTCAGTAGCCACCTGCACTTGTTCGGAGCTCTGAAATACACGCTTTCTCATTGGCTATGTCCACGCATAGGCGTGCTTTACTCCACGTGGACCGGTGAAACTGCCTTTGATCTTATACGGGGGATATTTGCTGCGAAATTTGGCGATTTTTGCAGCAACAGAGCGTGTTAAATATAGATATATAAAACGCACCCGGTATTTCACAGTGTTTCAAGTGACTTCAGATAAAGTATACATACATTATGCTGTATTCAGTGGTATCTGCCTTAGGTCCGAATCGCCAGTCATTCCTACTTGTTTTCATAGCCTTTTCTTTCCTTCAGAAAAGCTGAGGTATTTCTAATTGTAGGAAATTTCAGGCTATATAACAGATGATATAATTTGATGCAGATATTTATTACAAAACCTCAAAATAGAGCGCTGACTCAGAAGACTAGAAAACTATGAAAATCAAGGAGGCCATAAAGGCGTCCTATAATCTTGAGGGATCCAGTGCATAGACCAGTCAAGTCACATGAGGAAAAATGTTGAGGAAACATAAAAAACATTTTTCATGTAAATTTTTTAGTTACTGAACATTTTCGTATTTTTTGTCAATTGCTGATAATTCTGCTGCTTTACTTTTTAAATATATCAATCTGTAAATTAAAAAAATAAATGAGCTATGAGGAGAAAATTAATAAACTTGACTGGTTTACACAGTTTTTTTGATTTTGTAAGGGATAAAATTAAAATAAAACAAACTTTGACATTCAAAATGTGATTTTTTATTAAGTTACTGAATGAAGTAAGCTAATACATGGTTTAATTCACCTTCTGATATAGACAAAAAATATTTTCATTTATTCATCTTCACTGAATTCTGATGAAGAAGTTTCTGTATCAACTAGCGAAAAGTTCTAACGGTATTTTCCGAATTCTTCATAGAACCACTATCACATTGTGGCACATTAGCCAGGGTCATAAGTCAATCAGATTTATTTTTCTTTAGTTTTCTTCTTTCCCTATACCTACATCTTATTTGTAGTGTTTGGTAGAGTCAGCGGCTGCACAATCCTCTTGTCTGGGATTTCAAAAATATTAAACTGATACAAAGAGACTGTTTCACTACATTTAAATAATATTTCATTATCTAGTTTCTCATAGTGCATGATTCGATATTCTGAAATCGTAAAGTGATTGTTCTTCCGTGAAGGATTCTTTGCAACTGACTGTTGCAAATAAACCTCAAATTTAAAAATATATCCTATGCAACATGGATGACTTTAAAGTTTTTGTTTGCATTTTCACTAATCTTTGAATACTTTTGCGGCAAATATATTTCATTGTATCACATGGAAGGAACTATGTCCAGGTTTGGGGTACCTGTGCTGTGCTGTATTAGACTGACAGCACTGTGCAAAAACCAGTCAAGTCCAGGACTTGTAAAGTGTAAAAGCATAGACAAACAATTATACAGTTCAGTTTCCATAATTTGAGTGTTACAAAGCTGGTCCACAACTCATAGAGAGGCCCACAAACTGGGATTTAGCACTTGCATGGTAAGTTTTCTTACAAAAAAAAAAGTGAAGTAAAAACCCCAAAGTTGCACAACTTGTTTATAGGCCACAGAAAAGCCACTATTAACTCCACTGCAAAAGAAAAATCGGCTTAGATGGGCTAAAGAACATAGACAATGGACACCTCAACAATGGTGTACAATACAATTTAGTGATGAGGCCCGATTCGAAGTTTGTGTTGGTGACAGTTGCAGTAGAGTTATTCGCAAAAAAAATGAAGCATTCCATGTTGACTGTCTGAAGAGAAAAGTGAAATTTCCAGCATCCATTATGGTCTGGGGCAGTATGTCATCAAAAGGAGTAGGAAAACTTCATTTTATAGATGGAAATGTGGATACAAACAAATATTTGGCAATTTTAGAAGAATCACTTTTACCAGTGATGGAAGAATATTTGACATCCGGCCAAGATTTTGTGTTTCAGCAAGATGGTGCAGCGTGCCATACCTCAAAAAAGGCTATAAAATGGATGGAAGAAAATAATGTACCACTTTTGAAATGGGTTTCTAGCAGTCCAGATCTGCCACCTATCGAAACTTTGTGGCACAAGATGAAAAAGGTTCTATGACAACATCCTGCTCGTACAATCACCGAACTGAGACAAAAGCTTCGAGAAATATGGGATTGTTTTACACCAAATTTTTGCCAAAACTTGGTTAACACTATGCCTCAGAGAATTTCAGCCGTAATAAAAAATAAAGGTGATGTTACCAATGGTAATCTTTCAATTGTTGCTTTGTTAACTTCGCGCATTTATTCGCACATTGTTTATTTGTTCTATTAGTTATAGGTCTAAGTGATTTCAAATATGTTTTTTTTACGACTAGAGTGTATCTAAAATGTTTTTGAGAAAATAAATTGTTTTAGAAGTAAATAGTTTCGTCATGTTTAGTTTATAAAGGCATATTTTGGTACAAATCTTGAAGTGGGAAGGGACTCGTATAAATCCAACACATTTTTTCTAAAAAATGAACTTGCCATTTATGCATTGGATCCCTCAATTGTAGGAAGGACTGATGATACGACCTTAAACCAAGATGTCAATGGAATAATGTAATTGCACCAAGATGAAAAGGCTTATGTAAATAGTTCTATAGGTATAAGCCTGTAGCATCATAGCTTTCAAATTCGTGAAATATTTTATATTTTTTATTAACAACTTGATTTAGAATGTTCTTTTCTTTTTAGAAATGTTAGTTTGGTTCCAATTCAACTTTTAAGGTATATATAACAGATATGGATGGAAAGAACAACTAAGTAAAACCTCAGCTGAATAACATACTTACAATTGTCTTTAGTTGTTTTCACATAACTGTTGAAATATTGCTCGACATTCGCATCACAATCTGCATGAACCTTGAAAGGCATACTTTGCAGCTTGGAATTCTTTTTAGCAAATTGTGCCTTGGGGTGGATATGTATTGTTGCCATTGTTTACAACTGAAAGGAAAAATTTATGTTCCACTGCAATTATTGTTATTCTTTCTTACCACCTCTCGAACTTTTGAATGAAATCTAACGAGAGTCGGGGACTTTTGAATCGTATGAAGGATTTCTTTTTGCTTGATTTCGGTTATGTGTTATTTTTTCCCTGACAGATTCTGCTCTTGAAAAGCAGTGCAGCGGTGGGGATAGGCAACCAGAAACACAACACAACCACAAAGTCAACGGCAGAACAACACAATTGACAGCTCATTTTCGACATTTTACCTGGCGAACCGTCAATGTGCTGTCAATTATTGTTAATTTATGTCAAAATTGGTGGAATTTGCAAAATATTGAAAATGTTTACGTGAAAAAGGTTTTGTTTTGATTTTATTTTAACCGTCGCTGGATATACCGACGAAAAGCCAATTTAACAAATGTGAAGTGTGTGAAAATACTCTTTTTGGTATTACCCAATAAACATGCTTCAGTTTTCTGATTCTGATTCAGATTCTGATAAAGGTATACGCTATAAGACAGATAGCACCAGAAATAAAATAAAAAATGGCTTAACCACATCAAGCGGTACAGATCATCGAGATTTTAGAACTAAGAGGCATGAAAGCCACAGAAGACCTATTGCAGAGGAGAGATTCAAGAGACAGAGTAGGAGTAGTTCTAGAGATGGCAAGCATAGGCATAAAAGTAAAAGAGAAAAGAGGTCAAGTACAAGAGACAGAAGCCCAAAATCAGGGGGTAGTATGAAAAGTGATTCATCTGTGTCTGCAAGGTATAAAGATGCTAAAACTACAAGGAGTCAAAAAGAAAGGTCACCTAGCAAGAGAAAGACAAACGAATCTTATACAAGCTCTAGTTTAGATTCAAGAAAATCGAGCAACAACCGGATCTCATGTACAAATGATGTATCTGATGAAAAAGGTCTAGAAATGTCTAAAGAAGTAACAGGTAAAAAGGAGTCAAACGATGTAATAAAGGAAACATATACAACATATGAAGATAACTTGTTTGGCCCAAGCTTACCACCTCACTTAAGAATAGATACAAGCCCCAATTTCGAGCAAAATAAGTCGAGTACTTTTGGGCAAAGCTTGGCTTCATCATCAGAAACAACAAAAGCAAGCATTATTAAGGAAGACAAATACACAGACAGGTTAAGTAGATCAAATCTTGAACTTATCTCAACCAAAGACTCGACTAGCAATATAGCTGATTCAACAGAGGATATATGTGGGCCTCTCCTGCCTCCCAATATCAAGAAAAAAGATGTACAAGAGGGGTTAGAAGAAACAACCAAAGGGTTAGATAGTTCAGTCAATCAATTTGGACCTGCATTGCCCCCCAAACCAATATTAAATAATTCTAGTGATCTTTCTGTTTCAAATGCAGATGATTGTACAACAAACAGTGAAATAATTGGACCTATATTACCTCCACACATGCAGACCAAGGAATTACAAGGAAGTGAAGATCTTTCAGATGTAAAGGAAAGTAAAAAGATAGAAATGCACATTGCTGGTCCAGCATTACCTCCCCACTTGCAGAAAAAGCAGGAGTTAGGTAAGGTTGGAAAATTTCATTTAATATGTTCTCATTTGTACATGCTTCATATTATATTACACAGCAATATGATTGTTTCTTAGAACCAGTTCAAAAGGTTGAAATTGTTGGTCCTGCTTTACCTCCACATCTGCAGAAAGACTCAAATGAAGGAGTGAAGGTACTTGGGCCCACTCTACCACCACATCTAAGGCAACAATTGGAGGCATCACAGGGTAACACATGCAATGAGGTAACTATAGACAACATTGCTTTAGTAGCCTTTAGATTAACATTTTGGACTATTTATATACTTTACACTGGGCTAAATATTGCAATCTCAAAATTTTGAAAATGAGACATTAGTTTTGAATGTTACATAACATATTGCCCTTAGATAGCACAATATAGAAGTGATTTCAATCTGTGTAATCCTGCTATCTAAGCTCCCCACCTGGCGAATCGTTCCGGCTCTCTAATTTGTACTGCAGTGGGCCTGTTTGACTGACGAACACTTAATTTCTGTTGTACATGTTTGTAACTGACTTCTTTCTCAGAGAGCATTGACATCATCCTACACTGGTTTTGTTTTTCTATGACTGCACTTTTCTTGACATTGCCCTACACCAATACTGTCTTTGCAAGAATCACTTGAGTGTTGAAATGGCTCAGCACATGTCAGTGGAGAATGCTGTTAGATTAGCAACTGTATGCTGTATGTTGTTCATAATTCATTAGACTCAGCCCAAAAAAGAACATCATAAAGAGAGCAACTCCTTGAATATTTTTGGTAATTACAAAAAATGAGGCGTCAAATGGGCTGGTTATATTTGGATTATTATTGGTTAGATTCAGTTGCACCTAGCTGCTATGAGCTCGGTCAATGAGACAATTAAGAAAAGATAAAATTTCTCTGTTCTGGAACAGAACAAAGAGACAGAAGAATCATAGATATGGTCTTAATCAACCACGAAAACCAACAACTAGCATGAATTGCAAAGTTTCTGGGTATTTACATTGACCAGAATTTGGATTGGCAGATCATATCAAGTTCAATCAGCATGATTAGAATTATGTCTAGGTATTTAGATGTTGATCATTGTCAGGACTTTCAGAGCATAAAAAGGATCAGTGTGTACTGGATAATATTCAAACTGGCAAAGGAAGGTTTAGAGAGCTGAATATTCTCACTCTGCCAGGTATTTATATTTTTTAGTGTCTCCTGTCTCTGTTTAGAAACAGAGAACAATTTAGCGCATGTGAAATATCTGAAGGTATACAAAGGACAGTGGCCTCGTTTACCCTCGACACAGGCCTACTGTAATGGAAAACTTACTTGTGTATACATTTTTTTAATAAAATATGTACTTGGTCTTTCAATCATCCCTCATTACTAGGAAGAAGTTGAAAGTGAAGACGATGGCGCATATGGACCATTGCCACCAGGAATGTCTGTTGGAAGGGCACATGTGGAGTTGGAAGAAAGAGCCCTTCAATTGAAAATAGACCAACTGGGGCCAAAAGATGATCAGGAACCAAAGAGAGAGGTATGGATGTTAGAATTACCTGAAGCTAAAGCTGCTAGTTTTGGGCTGGGCCCCAGGCAGTTTAGAGCTCGTGAGGGCCTTGATATGTCTGACAGGTAAATTTCTGTTTTGCTTAAATACAAGCTTTTGCGGGTTTATACTCACCATCCATGTTGTCAAATTTTGTTTGATATTTTCTGATCACTTTGGGTGGGTTTAACCCAAGGAAAATTTACTATCTGCATATGCTAAAGAGCCAAAAAAGGCCAATCTCCATAACAACGATTATTTTAAAACTTTTCGATACACTCAGTTTGCCAGGCGGGGCTTGGGATACTGGTAGGTTGGATTTGGTTTATAGGCCATAGTGTGGAGACCACTTTTACTATGTTAGAGCAACTTTCATACTTCATTCATTATGTTAGCATGGCCGAACTATTCATCTCTTTCAATTTTATGCTGTAGATCCTCATGGACTACTACACCAAAAGATGCAGCAAAAAACGTTCCAGAAGCTAAAGTTGATCTTAAACAAGAGACGCAGCTGAGACATATGAAAGAAAAAGATAAACAGCAGGAAGAAATAGTAAAATCCACAAAACGAACCAAGAAGAGTTTGCTAGAAATACATCAGAAGAAGCTCATGAAAGACAAGGTAATCATTTTATTGAAAATTCCATGCAAGTGGATATTTGTGCTTCTAATCGTGTATATATATATATACACAGGGTGCTTATGACATATAAAATTGAATTCTTTTAGTCTGACGCACGGTTTTCTCCTGAAAAATACAATCTATTTTTTAATATCGTCCATCGGAGTGAAAAAGATTAAGCAATCAAATTTGTTTTGAAATGACAGGATTTCAAGAGTAGTTTTTATTTTAAGCGATCAGTTGCGTACTATCATTGTCCGCCAAAATAGGTAAGTGAAATCGGTACGAAAATTCGTACATTTAGGGCCGTATAGTCGGTCGTTCCTACAATTGTAGTGCGCCTTTAAGGCTTCCTTGATTCCCATAGTATTTTCTATCTTCAGAAAGGCTGGGGTATTTCTAGTTTTTTACTGTTCCGTGTCAGCGTCAGCGCTATCCTAATTATGTTTTCTTCTTGAATGGTAGGAAATTTCAGGCTCATAAAACAGATTGATGAAAAAATCAAAAGCAAGAACAATTCGATGCAAATAGATATTTGTAAGGACAGGAAAAACTATGAAAATCAAGGATGCCATAAAGGCGTTCAACTATTGTAGGAACGACTGACGATACGGCCCTCGTGATAGCACATATATGCCGAATTTTAAGAAAATTTTTAAAGTGGTATTACAGACCTTAACAAAAAAGTATTGAATTTTGAAAAGTTTATCACCCTGTTTCTCAAAAGTCAAGACGTTTAGGACATACGATTATATGAAGTTTTCTTCTTAAAATGGAACCGAAAGTTGCTTCCTTAAATATTGACATTCAGTTGGAAAACACCCTATATATTTTATGTATGTAAATGTAAATTTATTAAAGGTTATTATTGCAGTTTTTCATTTTGGATATGTTTTTTTTGCAATATATTTGTTCATATTTCCTGTTATTAGCTGTAGAAATAAAGACTTCATTTCATTGCTGTTACTTATGTGTTTTGACATACTACCTATGAATTCCTTAACAATTTCATGTGCTATATTTTTCAGTTGGTCAGTATTTGCATAGTTCATGCAGATATAAAAGAATATTTGGTAAAATAAATATTTTTTATTCTCCATTGTACACCCACAGAAATACAATAGGTTCTTTCAAAAATATCTAGAAATATAGATTTCATCAATTTATCCTTTTCTCTTAAAACAATTTTTTCTCTAGCATGATGTTAACTAGATTGTATTCTATGTTCACAAATACAAGGTTTGTAAACAGGGCTAAAAGGATATCTAATCAGTTACAAACAGAACTTTCTAGTTTCGGGGTGCATTAGATCATCTTTGGAAAGTTAATGTAAATTAACTGTAGGTACCAAACTTTTTGAATTATCCAATTTAAATACAGAGACTCTTCTTTTTCCTCTAATGATGTTTCTTACACTGGAATTATTCCGTCCTGGAACAGTATCTTGTACCCTGGGCTTGTTAGGATCCGATGTATCTTTGAGCAATGCATGTAGATCTAAAAAAATACCATTAAAGGTAATGGTGATTTTTTACGTTTTATTCCTAAAAACTGATATAACCATAAGTGTTAAAATATGTATTTTATATAGCCTTTTTGCTACATCAATGGAATTTTATTTTTGTGATGGTCATCATATGCCACTGTGCTGTCACTTATGTGAAGTATTCAATCTCAAACCCATGGCTGTGAGATTTTGTTAAATAGAAAAGTTGATTACAATATTCAAGAAGGCACTTTATCGAGTTTCGTGCGACATTTCAGCTATATCACATGAATAAAGAAGTGAATGATCTTCCTAAGAAGGTATTTATGCATCCAGGCACTTGAAAGCATATTCGAAATAGCCAATCTTACAGAAACAAAACGGGAATTTGCTTTTTGTGGCTGATATGTGTTACACTGCAATTTGTAAATTAAAGGTAGGCGTAAGCCTGTATAATCATAAAAGTTAAAGCTATTAAGTTTAAAGATTCAATCATTGGATATCTTGAACGTGACCTTGATCGTAACCTTCAATACCATTATGTGTAGGTCAAGACGGTTTCCTTTGATGAAACTCCTTTTTTTAATACTGGAAATGTAAACAGCAGGCAATTTTACCTTAAAGTATATCCTTGCCAATGACCTTGATCAGATCTTCATGGGTAGTTGAGGGTGTCCAGAAAGTAGGGAAAGGACAAAATATCTCGAAAAAGACGATTCATAAAGAAACATTTTGCGTGATGAAGTTGTAAGGTATGATTCTCAGCTAATGGTGACCTTCAAGCTTTCCTTTAAGGTCAAGACATTTTTATTAAATAGAAACTACTATTATTGAAATAAAAGAGCAAAAATCAGGGTCATTTGAAAATCAAATTAATTTTTAACGGGAATCGTCTATTTTTTTCCTGAAATGCGAATTGCGAACAATTTTAAGTTCATGTATGCCTTACCAATGAACCTGACCATGAACTTCAAGGTAATTTTAAGATCAGATAAATTTTCAAGTAAACTTATAGTCGAGAATATAAAAAAACGAAACATTGGAATTATAATTTATTGTTGCGTTAAAATGCTGGATAAAAAATGTTAGTTGCCAAAGTAACTATTGCATTACTTTGAATATTGCATTTCTCTCTCCAAAACCAAGCTCTATCACACTAAAGCGAAACCAATGATCTATACTTTAAGCTACTTCCACGCGTGCGGAGCCGCGGGTTTAGTCTAGTTTAAAATATATCTACTGATGGTTGAGCACCATGATAACATTTTCTTCTCTGGGACCCATTTGGTCGGGAGCCTGCAGCCTGATTAGTTTCGTCTCTGGAGGCGATTCATTTACAACCCCTAATTGGGCCTACAACTCTCCAGAATTTTTGATGGTCAAAAAAAAATAATAGACAAATATACAGCATATTTTTGTCAGTATCAAATGCTTGATTTGAATGATTTTTAGTTGTCTACCAGCACGATAGTATGTGTACGGTACGTCCTTGGAACAGCTACTGAAATACCATTGTAGTACTATTGCCTTTTTGCACTTTTTATGTGCTCTTTTATCTTTTATACAACTCTAAAAGAACAACAAAAAACACAAAACGAAATAAAATAATGTAGCAGAAGTAAAAAAAGTAAGATGACTGAGTACCCTACATTTCTGTGAAGAAAATCTTTATTCACACATAAGAATAATTTTGATTTAGTCCTTCCCAAATTTGAATTGGTCCACCAAGAAATCTAGCAGTTTTGATTTGTGCTTCTTTTGTAAGCTCCTCCCAAATGCACCTCAAAAACCTATAAAGGCTTAATTTCAAAAACGTAGAATATGTTACAGATGTACTTCTTTTATAAGAGGAAGGATCGGAAAGTGTATAAAAAACATATTTTCCAAAAATATGTCAAAATATGCTTTCAATTTCAACTCAATATTGCATCTGCTGAATTCTGCTGCTATTACATAGGTGTACCTTATGTATTCTGTTGCAAGACTTTCAAACCTACAAAAATAATATTCCGAAGATACCATGAATACACTAACCTGTAAGGGTTTGCTTAAAAGAAGTTGCCTAAGATGCACTGTGTTTTCTTATTTGTGGTACGTTAACTTCTTGGAATAGTTAATCAAACTTGAGAATGAAGGGACCTTTTAAAAACGCAAATATAATCTAATTATCATGAAAGCTGAAATAATCTGAGTACCCGGTCGAGTACCAAACCAAACCCATTTGCTGCTGAGTAGCGAGATTCTCACGATGCAACAAACCAGGTGCAATCATTATGAGGATTCCTATTTTCTGTGCTCAAAATGCTTCGCGCGGAAAGCTATAAGCGGTTGCTTAATGGTATTTTTTTGTTGCAGAAATCTGAGGAACCAGCTGAAAGGAGACCCTTTAGTAGAGATATTGATCTACAAGTGAGACGACTAGACGAGGCACAGAAGAAAGCTGTATTGAAAAGTGCACAGCTATTGGACGACAAGTTTTCATCGGGTCAAGCAAGATATCTATAGACACTAAAGAGTAATATCGAAGAAGGAAAATTTTATAATCGTACGCAGATTATACACAAGCAAGGACACAAATTATGTAACAGCTGTGGACATTACTAGAAACCGAACACAGGACTTGATTGCTGGATAACCGTATGATATTATGTTCAATTAATTGATATCTTCAGTACTAACATAATAGAAAAGGCTGCCATCACCTAAGTTCCTGACGCCGCGCCGCGGCGGCTTCGAAAACTTGGGTAAAATTGAGATTATTCGCTGAACACCTAGTATTTTTTTCTAATAAAAATATCATAGTTTTTGGTTCTGTAAATAATAAAATAAACTGCAAACACAACATAGTATGAAACAAATTATGTCATCTAGGTTAGGTACCCAAAACAACTAATTATGAATCAAAAGTAAAAAATAAGTTTTAAATTTAACAAGATCAAGTTATTTTTATTTACTATGAACTTGAGAGAAAGGAAAATAGGCGTCGCCGTCGGTGACTTTCGAACCCGCATTTCCTCCATTCCGTGAGGTCGGCCTAACCAATTAGTTACAGCACCAGCTGCCAACCAACTTTCATGATCGACTGCTAGAGGCAAATTCCTCGACAAATTCAATCCGACTCATGACAATTCCTTTATTCTTTCAAGCTGCTTGATGCCCCATCTGACGGCGTTCAAGCGAAACAAACCGGATTGGTAATGTATACCCTATTTCACGAGTATCTATCACGCTTTGACGTCTACTGAGGTGAACAGCTGATCAGCAAGTGAGATTTTTGTGTTAGTCTGCAAATAATGGATCGAGTATAAATCTAGTAAATTTGTTTGTGGTGTTTTGTTTTTTCTATGCAAATAAACTTTTCTAAATAAAAGAGCTGTTAGCAAGTACAAAATGAATCTGTAGCGTACAAAAAAGCAAAACAAAATTCGGCTCTGTCTACCTGGCGTTCACGGATCCGTCAGAATTATGTGTCCTGTGTCGATATGGGGAATTTTGAGATATTACTAGATAATCAGCTGTCATTCTACCGTGATGGATACTCGTGAAAAAGGGTATATCTCCTGTCGCTTTCTAGTTGGGAGGTCACTTTTGAAACACTTCTCCCGGTAGGCCTCCGGAGGCACCCTAAACTAAGACAAATCCGGGGATCCCGGAGGACAGCCCTAAACATGGATAGAAGTCGTACAATTGATTTGGTCAACAAATGTTGAACAATAATGCACAATATGGTGAAAATCAATTTATTTCTTTTTTGTAATAAAATTATGCGATTACGACCGCTTTTGGGTATTTTTCATATTCTTAAGCTTAATGCATAAGATAATTCAATTTGAGTACCATGCGCCGATGTAATATTTTTGTGTTACCATCATAGAACATTAGGTTTTGTAATTATTATCAGCAAATAACCAGGCTTGCCAGCTGGATCAAACAAAATTCCCCCAGAACAAACACAAAAATCCCTCATATTTGCAACTGTATAAAATGGAAAATAATATATTTTTCCAACGTATTTAGACAAACGTAAAACTATACGCGCATTCGCTATCACTTCGCCATTTGACATAAGACGAGCAAATTCGTGCAAAATCTCAGAGAAGACTAATAATCGTCTAGTTCTTTCTCCCAAACAACGCGTGCGAGGCACAGATATCAACCGGCCAGTTCACAACTTGTTATTCTGTGTCTATGACTGGATGCATGTGTACCAACCTACAATTGCCATAAAAATGTAGAGATGGGTCAGCCTAGATGTTTTGTGGAGATGGGTGCGACATCGGGACAGAAAAAGCTACAGAAACATAATATTGTTATTTAGTAGTTGAGTTTTTCGTAGTTAAAGATGAAATAAAATACCACAAAAATACCTAACGATTTTATTTCCCCCCGAAAAATCCCCCAGAACATTTTATCCCTAAGGGACGTAAAATCCCCCAATATGGCAACCCTGTAAATAACCACCATACAAGGTTAAATCGCATAAGGGATACACGTAGTCGTATTAAGCCAATCCTGCCGCCAAGGAGGGCGTAGAGCCTGCCCAGGGTTTACAGTCATGATGATAGTATCAGAGATGCTACATGCGCAAAACCTGAAATTAGTTTCCTGCACAGAGTGCTTGCGAGATAGCCCCACCTTCGTCGTCAACACTTGGCTTCACCACCACTCTATGAGTTCAATCCCCTTCCTTCGTGGATCAAATATAGGTGATTCCATCACTGCTGAATCCGGTGAACTTATGGTTGACAGCTAATGTGATGACGTCAGCTAACGGTTCATTTAAATGAGAAAATCTTATCGTTGTTTTATCGTGTTTGGATATTTGTTAATTTGAGCTGCGTATACCTTATTTTCTGTAATATTTAATTATTTTTGTAAAATACTCATTTATTTTTGGAGTTTTTTTGTGCCATAAATATATCGAAATAAAATATTAAACTCACATAAGCATACAATATGTACCCTATGGAACATCTTTACTACAAATTCAATGAATTTGTCTCGCCTAGACAAAAAAACCGACAACAAACGGGGACAACGCGCGAACGCGGCGTGAATCCGCGAAGCATACGCGAATGGGATCCACACTCATGAGTCGCGGGCAGTTCGCGGATTCGAGCGCGATCCGCGCGTGAGTCTGGGGAGGACTTGATGAATGAATCGCGATCAAAGTATTTCAGAAAAATAAGTACATTTTTAAAGGATACAAAAATCATGACTGCAATAACTGGAAAGAATGAGTTTCAATTGTGCTATCAAGAGAAATCTAAGAACACCTCAAACGTCAAAATCCTTCAAGCCAACTTTAGGCTATATCCCATGAAATAGAAATTTCAAGGTTGAAGCACATCTTAGATAACAATCAGCTAACAGCTATGAAACTTTTTGTCAATGTCAAAATTTCGGCAGAGAAAGTTGAATGTAAATTCAACCACTACAACTATGAAAGAGGTTGTGGGCTGCTGCTGAACACTAAAACCTCTTTCATCGTTGTACTGGGGGAATTTAGATTAAACTTTCTCCGCCGAAATGGCGGCCGTTTTTGACAGTGACAGGATAGTTTCATAGCTGATTGTTATCTAAGCTGTGGTTGAAGTTTATAATCCGCCATTTTGTTTTTACATAATTTTAATTAGCCAGTACCACTCGCACTGCAAGGAGTAATGCAACACCTCATTAAAAATCCATCAAGCCGTTTAAGCTGTAAGTCTTCAAGGTTTAATTTTTCTAATAAAATCCGCCACTTTTATCTTTATAAAATTTTAAAACAGCTAGTGCCACCAGTACTGCTAAGGCCCAGTTTTTCAATCGCAAGTTAACTTTTTGGTTAGTAAACTATCGCCAGGAAGTTAACTTGTAGTTACTTGCAAATGCGTTTTTCAAGTATTTTTGTACAGCGTCAGTTAACTTACCAGAAGTTCAAAATATAAATCAAATTCAAGCGGATAACCAAATGGAAATGGTATTTACCATTTTGGATTGGTATTTACCGATCCGTTCAAGCGAGTGTGGTTATAGTTGGTTATAAGATTCGTGACGTCATGAATCAGCTGTTATATGTCATAGTTATCACCGCAAAATTGTGGTATTTACCCAACTCGGGAGTAGTTTTATATTTCTGGTTATTATTTGACATGTGACAAGTTAGAATTTTGCCGGGTATTGGATATTGTTATTGTACTTCAGCTTCATTTTTGAGAAAATTGATACAGGCTGACTTCAGTTTTACCATAAAGTAGAGCCCCTTATTAGTTATACTCATTACGGTTGTTGGGGACACTTTAAATGTAGTTCCTATGCTTAACAAAGTATCCTGTGTAGCCATATACCACAAGAATATTAAAATATGGCCGTATAAACTCACTAGATGATATCCACCTGTATACGGTTTAGCTAATTTCTTTTTTCATCATTTCTGCTGAATCAATAAATGTTTTCTTTGACATGCGGAAAAATTTAGAGAATTAAAAGTTATCATAGCTACAAAGCCATGGTTCCATCATTAAAAAAAAATCTGAAAAAACATTTCTCCCATGAATATTATGAAAGGTTTCTTATTTAAAGTTTCCGTATACAGTTGTAGACGAAAAAGCACCGATTATTAAGTGATAATAAAAATAATCAGAGATTATATACGCGCTTTTCTAAAATAAACAACTTGCAACAAAACCGCGGTTAAAACCAACGCGCTCAAGCGATTCGTGTAATTGACGTCATCAACCCGTGTATCATCTTGAACCATATTATAATCGCGGCACATAACACAGAAATTTTGGTTATTCGCTTGGATTTGATTTATAAGTTAAGACCAAGGTCGTAGTTAACCTGCGATTGAAAAACCGGGCCTAAGACCAGAGACTGTTTTATAAGTTTTTCTATGTTATTTGCAGGGTCTGCAGAATGTATATCGCAAACAATAAATATTTTCCACTTTTATTATCGAAATTCCAGATACCAGATAATAATCTCTATTATTCCGGCTATATACATAATTGAAGCTGATCTGGTATTTATATCTCCCTAGTCGACTGGAGTAAGGACTCGCTCTGAACGACTTGATGACGTATCGAGTAGTCGGTCTGTTACCATCTAGATGTGGTGTTCTGTGATCAGAAGTCCGTGTATGCTTTGTGATCAGATCATCAGATGTGTCATTTGTCATATATATTACTTCACCTTGCGGCTTGCGGTTCTCCTCTCCTGGTATTTTCTAAAATTTGAAAATAATGGGAGCCTTCTTTATTTCATAATCCAAAAACATAATTTTCTGAGTATCTATTTCACTTTTGGAGGAAATGGTTCTGCTGCACATAGGCAGATTAATCAGGTAAGTCGTATAACTTATCTTAAACATAGATTTTTGAGTCCACACTATTTTCAGAAGGCAAATCTGTACAAGTGCCAGATTGTATAAACCGGGAGCTTATGAGGGCGAAGGAAAAACAACCCTTCATATTCTAAATAGAGAAGATGAATTGGGGCTGATGATAGACGGCTACAGTCAGGTAAATTCATTTTTCATATCTGATATTTGTGTTCTAAAATCTCTCTAACCTTTTAGGTGGGATTCCGTTTAAATAATGATATGACTGTGTTAGGATCTATGGTCATTTTTCCTAGGTATTTATATCAGCTATTTTGTTGGTTAACATTCTTATGTGATATTTTGTTTCAGGTCTGTCTTATCATGGGCTGTAGATGATGTATCAGAAATCAATGAAGAATCACTTTGTTTGTTTTCAATCTTGGAACCAAAAGTAGATATTTTAGTTATAGGGATAGGTGATAAGATAGAAAACAATGATTTCTACCGCAGGTTGTTACCATTTTCTAGGAAATTTAGAATTTCCTTTGAGATTTTACCCACAGTGCAAGCATGCTCTACTTTCAACTTTTTGAATTCTGAAGGAAGAAATGTAGTTGGGGCTATGATCCCACCAAAGGATATCAAGCCAACAGATGATGATCATGTAAATACTAAACTTAGATATGAAAACTTGTATGAAACAGAAGACTTTATTTTGAAAGTGTGATATTGAATTGATAAGTAGTTAATAGAATACAGAAAATGTATGAAATATGGCTATGTTTTGTGAATCTACATTATTACATTTTAACTTCTTTTACATGTTTATTGTTGACATATTGTGTTAATTAAAGATATTTGCAGTAATTTATTTTTAATTTTTCATGGTAATATTTGATTACAATTGTATTTATTTACTGTTAAGAGCAGAATATTTGAATTGAAACAAGATGGTATCAGGCAATCAGTATGATCCATAAGTATTTGCCACAGAATGTGATATTTATTGATGCATGTAGCCTGGATGTCAGTAATTATTGTATCCAAATGAGACAGCATAAATAAAGTGATGCATATATCCTAAATTGTCCACTGCGAAAGTCAAAACAGTAAGCTGTTCGTTCCAACTGTATCCCAGTTCACATTGTCCGCCAGAGCACTGCCGTAGTTGGGATATGGTTCAACCAGTTTGTTGTTTTCACTTTTGCAGTGATTGAATCTGGTAATAATTGGCACTTGTGCTGTCTTACTTCGATTAGCCTTATACTCTGAATACAGTAGAGTAGATCACCATTTGTTGGTTGTCTGTTGAGACCAAGCTAAGGAGTTACCAAATAGCACATAAAAGCTGTGTGTTATTGTTACATAGGAGTCTAATAACAGTTGCCATTAGTATTCACTGGCATCATCAGTGAATTGTGATGGTATGGACCATAGTAAATATTGATCATGTGAAATCACCTTAATCTCCAGGTCCTTAGCATTATGTATATGTGAAATATTGATGATACTTTGTGCACTCAATAAAAATATCACTTATTCATGCAATACCTGCATGAAATTCAAAGATTGAAGTACAATATTTCTTTGATGTATTTGGTACTTTAGTTGGGACACTAATTTATAGGAATTGTCTTATTGGGAATCAGACATTGCTTTTTAAAAAACAACTTTATATCAAAACTTACAATTAACTTAATGATCTATAATAATGAGTTCATCAATGCCCCAATCTTCATAAGAGTGATCTGGCAGGTACCTCCTAATAATGATAGGAATCTTTCTTTGTTTCAACTCTTTCATAGCAATTTGTAAAGGGTCAGTCTCTCCATCCAACTCTACCATAACAGGAGCGCACATTGCAATCTGTAGTGCTCTTGTTCCCAGTACTCTTGCTCGTTCATATTTTGTCATGTATTTGGTGGTGATCCGTTTGTTTTTTGGTACGCCGCCCCCAGCTTGCCCTGGAGCTAGAATATCGATGTTGTCACCCTCCTCCTCTGGTTGTTCAAGCTCTTCAATGTTATCGTCTTCTACATCATCGTCGAAGTCATCTCCCACATCATTCTCGTCAAATTCTTCATCAGCCATGCTTATAGGGTATTAATAACGCAGCAAAGTAGAAAAAATAATGCTTAAAAGTCTAGAAGAAATGGACTTCCTAGCGTAACCCTCAAATAAACATCACAAAACCATAGACAAAACAATAAAGTCGGTGGTGTCTGTCAAAATGGTAATGACGGAACACAGTTGCGAAAATTACAGAACACAAAGTGTGATTGTGAACTAGAAAACTTTTTCACTTGTGTTTTATACCTTTCAGTTCTTGGCTTTTTTGTCAGAAATTCGCCATATTACAGGTTGAATCAGCTGTGCAAATGCACACTAATCCTTTTAGGCAGACTTCAAGCCACTACATTTGCATATTCTGAGAATTTGCGCTTTACTTTATAACTCCATTTTAAACGACTGCAACAATATTATTTCAGTGATATAAGTACTATTTCACTTGAATGAATAATTGAAATTAGTTATAGCCATGTGTTTCATTCAGGAGTTGTTTGAATTTATCAATTTTATATTACTATTAAGGTCCTTTCATATTAAGCCGTGACGTGACAGTGCCGTGACGTGCCAGTGATTCTTGCTGACGTGAGCTCACAGTGTTTTCAATTCACAGTATTCACATCTATAAGTATTTTTCTCCGTGCTCGGACAGTGCAGTTGTGTTCACGTGAGGTCGAGATGGCAAACTTTTCAGAGGATGAATTTGCAATTATGTACTGCATTATTTCTGTTTCTTTTATACTCCAACTACCACGCAGGCCTAAACACCCATAGGGTACCCTGTTGCTATATTGGGAAATACAAGGGAAAGGGGGGACGCCACACGGACTCTGGCGAGGGAACACGTTTGCATGCAACATGCACACATTCTGGATTCTGGCCCCGCGTACGAGATCCGCTGGGTGATACCTGCGCGTTCGACAGTCAGAGACCGTCTACCATCTACGGAAGATGAAGAAGAAACGAGGAGAAAACGGAAGTCAATGTATTCTGAATTTGACTGGTTCTACAGCACGGGATGTGCGCGCACAAATTAGTTTTTCATCATTCATGTTTTTGACAAATATATCAAAATATTCATGAAATTACATAAAAACACGGCCGTGAAAATCGAGAGCACTGAGAACACGGCCACTTCCACGTGCCTGTCTAGTGTGAATCAGTTCATCCAAATCCAAGGAAGAATGTTTTTAGTTTCGCCGAGCGGACACGTGCCGGTCACAGCACTGTCACGTCACGACTGAGTAGAATAAGCGATAAGCCTTTATGATTGAATATTGAATGGCGGTCATTTGCCAGTGGCGGGTGTGATATTTTTTTATTTATATTTTCAAATATGTTCAATATCAAGTTAGTTTAGTATTGTTGTCATTGTCTTTCAGGTTTCCTCTTAAATATCCAACAAGGAATGGTATGTGGCTAAAGAATATGCATCTAGCTGACTGGGTTCCCACAAAAAATAGTAGGATCTGCTCAAAGTATTTTGAAATCCATGCTTTTTATAAAGTTGGAAACAGAACCTATCTTTTGGATGATGCAGTCCCTACAATCTTTGACGAACTTTCAAAACTCATACAGACTAAGATTATTTAACATTTAACCCAACACATTAAGAAATTTACAAAACCAATTATTTATTTAGTCAGTTCATAGAGAAATTCTACCAATTATTACAATAATCTGAAATAAACATATACTAATTAAGTTGATGACTAATTAATATAATTGAGATATATTTGAATGCAGGTAACAAAGAGACCTCATCCAAGAACTAGACAGCTTCCTACACCTACAGCTTCAACATCTAGGAAAAATGATCCTCCCCAAGATGATCCAGACACCCCCAGAAAGAAGCATTTTAGAAGACAGCTTTTTGCAGAAAGCGTAAAGAGCCAAGAGAAAAGACATATTGTTTCTCTCAAACAAATAGTGTAAGCCAGTTAGAAGCCATTTAACAAACACCATTTTATTTAAAGGACAATGAAATAGTTTTTTTTACATTTACATTAGCATAATTCTTGTAACTTTATTTTGTACTTATGTGTAGTTAGTATGCTCTATGTAGATTCTAATTAATTTAGATTTGGCTAACAACAGTGATTACTTTAACAAACACTGCTTGAAGATCAATCCTAATAAAACTACTGCAATGTTGTACTGTTCGAAGAACTCCTACCGTGACATGAAGCAGAGGATTTGTGTTGTTTTGGATGAGACGCTCATCTCTTTTGTGGATTACGCCAAGAATCTCGGCGTTACCCTTGACTTAAATATGAGATTCGATCGGCATGTCTCTTTCTGATCTAGAGTAACGTATATGCGTTTGAAACTCCTCTATTCTAATCGATTCATCCTGAATTTTAAAACCCGAAAGAAGCTCGCCGAAAGTCTTGTGTTGTCTGTCACTTCTTACTCTGTTGTTCTTTATTACCCAACTGGTTTCTAATTGATAAGTTATTTTTATATCTTTTGACCGTCTTCACGCATAAAGTTCTATTATCTAACCGACCAGCTTGCCTTGCAAGCAAATTAGTTCCCCGTGGTAGTTTAGTTACCAGAGCTCTTAGATTTAATGCTAATTTTAACATGCCTCCTCACAATACCTCGGTCTTAGAAATAGGTTACACCTATAATGCTGTCAAGCATTACAATGCAGTCAACAGTGGCTATCGATCCAAACGGGTTGCTTCTTTTAAGAAATTAATGAAAAGTCAGCTACTGGAGTCCATTTAGTTCAGTTTTTCTTGTGTTCATGTGCTTTTTTTTTGACTATTTTCTACTATTTTTGTTTCAAATTTAAAACTCTCACAATACTATCTGCATGCTTATGAACTGTATTTTTTGTGTGTTATTATTTTGTTTATGTGTTTAAGTATCTTTTTTTTTCTTCTGTTGTGGGGTTGAGTGTAAGAGTAGCCGTCTGGCTAAACTTCGCCTCACTGCAGCTAATAAAGGCATTATTATTATTATTATTATTATTATTATTTTCAATAAACTATCTCAGTTCATACTGAATGTTCATTAAAAAAAATATTCAATATAAATAACAATAAATATCTAATATATTATTTTTAAATCACAATATAACACATTCAAGTTATGATAGGCATTTCAAACAAATATGCTCTCATGATAATCATGTTTACCAATAATTGAAATTTACACTGTAATAATTTTAATTAAAGTACCATAATATTATAACGCTATGTCATACCCAATAAATGTTTCTGTGTAAACTACATTTTTATTTTTAATAAAAACATATGGGAATATACCTCTACTCTGCCTGAGATTTGAAGTTCCGGAACTGATGTAATTCCCAATAATAGCATCAATCCAAACAGTACAAGCACCAACCGGACTCCAGACCTGGTTTGCTGTCCTGCCCTATATCAAGGAACTGACCCCTAAGCTGATCAGATTGTGCAGTCCTTTGAACTTTCGAATTGCTTGCAAATCCGTCCTCACTATAAACTGCATTTTTTCAAAAATGAAAGACAAAGTCCCGCTGCTTGGCTTAACCAACACAGTCTACTCCATCAATTGCAACACTGAAACCAAATATACATAGGTCAGACCTACAGATCTCTTAAAGGAAGGATTACATCACACAAAACTGATGCTAGGCTTCATCATGAAAGATGCGCTCTAGCATCTCATGTTAACACAACAGGGCATTCTATGAATTACACAAGTATCAAGTTCTTGATAAAGAAAAACACCTTTCCAACGTTTATTCCTGGAAATGTCCCACATTTTCATGAATAACAACTGTATCAACAAAAAGACAGATGTTAAACAATGAGTGTCATTTACTCATATTTGCTAAACTGCGAAAAATTGGAGAACTTACATATCTCCCCAAATTTCGACTCTTCACAACCATAAATAGAATCTGTGTTTTGGCCGATTCCACCAGTAAATTTCATTCCACTCAAAATCTAATAATTCGTCTCACGATTTATTAATAATTATTAATTTAAATTCCCATCAATTAAAATATAGTTTATTCAACTGCCTCTGGTCGGTTTAACAATTTCTTACATAACATTCTGAAAATCACATCATCTGAAGTGATTTGGCAACGTCGGCACATTGACACACGCCCACAATTCGTTCCATCTTTCAACACAGACATTGACAACCTTCGGCCTTCTGTCAAAGGGTTCATCTCACTCATTATTCCATGACCACCATTTTGTGCAATCATCAAGTGGCTTCACGATGTAATGCTCTAATGTTTTTAAAAATTTTTAATCTGTTTTTAACTTGTTCTTGTCATATTTTATATAATTTTGACCATTGTACCATCTATTCAGCTCTCACCATGTTACTGGACGTTTCCCTCATCCTATACGTAAACAACAATTAGCAACATCCTCACATACTACTGTAAGTTGAGTCAATTTAAATTCATTTTACACTTTTGTTGCTACTGTTATCATTGTAATTGCAGCTCCTGATGATGATGGCAAAGTCCATTGAAAGCTAGGGAGAATTAAAAAAGTATAAAGAGTCCTCTTTGCTTAAATTTTGTCGAAGTACCCAACAAAAGGCGGAAGCTTCAATTTTTCACCTATATATATATATATACAGGGTGTTCCATAATTATTGCGACAAAATGATAGGGGTTGTAGAGGGCATCAAAATGAACAATTTTTCCTTATAAACCCCTGTTCGGAAATATGCCGTTTGGGCTGCAGCAAAAAAAAGATCAGTTTCTTGAAACAGCTTACCTACAGTAATTGCTCAAAGTGTCCTCCACCTTGCTCAATACACAGCTGTGCACGATTGTTCAATGATCGGCGAACTCTGTGGCATACCCCCGGTATGTCCTGAACATGTGCGGACGCGGCCATCACTCTTCCCAGTAGCTCTTGTTGGTTGGGAACAGGAGTTTCGTACACTAAAGCTTTCAGATAGCTCCAGATAAAATAATCCAGTGGGGTCAGGTCAAGTGACCGCGCAGGCCAAGGCACAGGGCCACCTCGGCCTATCCACCTATTTGGAAATTTGTCGTCCAAATACTGCCGCACTTGTAAAGAAAAGTGGACTGGACCGCCATGGTGTTGAAACCACATGTTGGCTCTTATATTCAGTGGCACATTTTGTAATAGTTCCGGTAGCACATGCTGTAAGGATCGACCATAAGCATACCCATCCAAACGTGGTGGAAGCAGATATGGCCCGATGATATGCTCGTCCACAATGCCGCACCAGATGTTAATTGAAAACTGATGTTGGTCTCTATGGATGGCTATGGCATGAGGGTTTTCTTCATCCCAAATGTGACTGTTATGGCTATTAAAATAACCGTCCTTTGTAAAACAGGACTCGTCAGTGAACAAAACGTAGCGACCAAAGTTTGGTTGCCTCAACTCCTGCTGCAGCCACCAACGGCAAAAACGTCGACGCGGCAGATAGTCTGCTGGACCCATGGCTTGGACTTTTAATAGGTGGTACGGGTGTACGATAACAAAAATCTAAACACAGCAGGCTTTTTTTACAAACCGGTGAGACCATGAAATGTGCTAGACGAACATTTTGCAGCTGGTGAATTTTTTGTTTCTCCTATGAGCTCTTAAGGTAAAATTAACTGTAGTGCTCAAACGGCATATTTACGAACAGGGGTTTATAAGGCAAAATTGCATATTTTTATGCCCTCTACAACCCCTATCATTTTGTCGCAATAATTATGGAACACCCTGTATATATATATATATATATAAAGAGAATATGATCATGCGGCGAAAGGTATATAACAACAAGTAGGAAAATAATGGGCAAAATCCGCAAAAAGGAGGAAAGTGGATTCGAGCAGAAAATAGGATAGGTAACCCGAGCGATACCTATTTCTGCTGGTTGGCTTCATCAGGCCCGAAATGAATGCACATATGAAACTACAAAAGTAGATACACATGCCCACACATCCGGATACGGGTGTGACCTGATGAAGCCAACCAGCAGAAATACGTATCGCTCGGGCTACCTATCCTATTTTCTGCTCGAATCCACTTTTCTCCTTTTTGCGGATTTTGCCCATTATTTTCCTACTGTTTGTATATATATATATATATATAGTTGGGTACAAAATACAATTACTTGTTAGTTGGGAAATTGGCAAAACTTTTAGGTTAAAGTTGGCTCTTTTGACGATAAAATCAAGCTTTCGGCATTCTCTATGGAGCCATCATCAGGATTCTGAAAACGCAATTGTGATGCTAGCAAAAAAGACAGATTTAAAATGTCAGACAACTTACTCGTCGGTGAGGTTGCAGCCACAAGGTGTTTCAGAAAGAACGTAGAGAAGATCGAACTTGTGTTCAGTATAAAAACAAAAGGACGCGGACATTGGGCTTGTTAACACAAGTTCGATCTTATATTTGAGACTTGCTGTAAATTTAGATTGTTTTTTTATTTATTGGCTACAATTTTTTTTTGTTCATTACTTCATTAGAGAATACCAAAACATTGAGGTTTTTCCATAGTTTTAATTTGGTTTGTGATATTGCAACAACAGCGTCATTTTTGTATGGTTTTAAGTACAGTTAATAAAAAAGTTCCTTTTATGTGCTTTTGTTTTTTAAATGAGCGTTTCACGTATATTAAATACATAAAATGAGCATTTAATAGTAGTTTCAGCAAGGCTTTTTGCTGCTCTTCCTATTACTATAATATTTTGAACTTCTTGAAGATCGCAGTCTGAGAGACGGCATATACTATTTCCTCTTGTGTACCATATAGGTACATTCACGTTTCCGGTTAAGGATTGAAGTTGGGACCTTACAGAGCGCTTAGGTTAGGCAATAATAAGCAAGTTTTTTATTAACTCATATACCAAAGCTTTAAGATGACCAAGATAAGTTCGGAACTTCCTGTAAATGGGCTAGAGCGACTCTGTCTCTCTCCCCTCCTCCTCCTCCTCATCCTCCTCCTCTTTGAAAAGTCATGATGTTTTGTGGTGCTATGGTGCTAGTTTACCGTGTGGGTCTTCCAGATCCTATTGATGCTCCGCGAGTGTAGTCACAATAACAGTCTCAACGTCGTTACGTCATCCTCGATGTTACTACTATCAGAACTGCAAAAGCTGTTTGGTATAGAAGGCCTACGTATCAGTTGCAAATTTAGGGAAAAGTAAACAAATTGTGCTTTTTAATCGAACAGAGACAAGTTCCAGCTGTTTGCAAACACAACATGTGACAGACTAGTACTTGAAATGGAATACCGGCATTTCTATCAAATGGAAAATGACACACGCAGTAAACAGTGTTCGTCTCTGTCTTCGAGTCCGCGTTCACGCATACAAGTCGTAGCTTGTCAGTCGAGCGAGCCCGTTCATCACAGTCGCAGTGTTTCGTTTTGTCGCTTCCGCATAACTTTCTAAGGTACGTAAAAAACACGTATTTTTCTTACAAAAAGTGCATACACTATTGTTGTTATAACTTCTAGACATAGTTTGGATGTTCTTTTGTGGATGCGGTATTTGATTGTATTATCTTATCAAATATAAAAATATAAATGTCAGTTTGCAGTCGTTGGGAGATCCAAATATGGACGAATCATAGTAGCTAATTATGGAATATTCCATAATTTGTGCTTTTAAGTATCAGCTGATTTGATGATTCTGTTAATTTAAAAGTATGTTTTCTATTTTTCCTCAGAATGGCTGGCGTCAACTCAAAAACGAAACGAAAAGATTGGAATGCAGAGGACATGGCGCAAGCTATTACATTAGTAAGAGAGAAACAAATGGGTTATTTAAGAACTGCAAAACACTTTGGTGTGCCGAGAACTACCTTGTTTCGATTATGCCAGAAAAACGAATCACCGCCAGAAGAAGCCGCAGCTACTACACTTGGGAGGAAAACCGTTTTAGGGACAACCGTTGAAAATCTTTTGGTAGACTACATTTTGACGATGGAGAGCAAATTCTACGGCTTGAGGAGAAGCGATGTTCGAAGAATGGCGTACATGTTGGCAAAACGTAATCAGTTGAAAAATCCATTTGGTGACACGGGATTGGCTGGAAAGAAATGGCTTAAGCTATTTCTTAAGCGCCATAAGGACAAACTATCAGTCAGAAGACCAACTGGCACATCTTTTGCTCGAGCATTTGGATTCATCAAAGAAAAAGCAGACACATTCTTTGATCTCCTTGAAGGCGTTTATGTTCAAGAAAACTATGGTCCACACCGCATATACAATGTTGATGAATCTGGGCTTACCATAGTACAGAGATACCCCAAGTGGTTGGCCATAAAGGGAAACGGCAGATAGCTTCACTTGCCTCAGTTGAAAGGGGTTCATTAATGACAGTTGTTGTTGCTATGAACGTCACTGGTCATTTTGTACCTCCTTTTATTATATTCCCTCGCAAGAATATGAGTGCTCAGCTAATGAGAGGCAGTCCCCCAGGCGCTGTTGGTATTGCACATCCATCAGGATGGTTACAAATGAACATATTCACTGAATGGTTCAAACATTTCATTAAACATACCAACCTTACTCCGGAATCGAAAGTATTACTGATCTTGGATGGTCATTTATCTCATACTCGTAACATCGACGTGATAGATCTTGCTAGGGAAAATAATGTAGACATTGTGTCCTTACCTCCTCACACAACCCCCAAGCTCCAGCCACTAGATAAGACGTTTATGGGACCTCTCAAAACGTATTACAGTGAAGAAATACGAATGTGGATCAGAGACAATAATAGACCACTAAGCCCTTATGATATGACGGAGCTGTTTGGTAGGGCTTATTTAAAAGTACAAACGGGTGAGATGGCAGCCAACGGATTTCGGGTTACAGGACTATGGCCATTGAATAAAAATATTTTTACCGCGGTCGACTATCTTGCTGCGCAAGAAGATGCAGTTAAAGATGGTTGCACAGTAGATGTTACACCAATGACATTAAGTCTCCAACCTTTAGAAGAATCGATGGTCAATCTTAGAACACCTGCTGATGGTAAGCCTTTAACTGAAGCTTCTACATCCAGACAAGATACAAATATTGAACCTGTGCCCTCAACTTCCGGAATTTCTCACAGTAGTTTAGGATTCGTTTCTCCATATGACATCAGTCCGGTACCAAACAAGAAAAGGAAACCTTCTAATAGAGGAAGAAAAGCATATGTTGCAGCAGTCATCACATCGTCACGTTACAGGGAGGATCTCATAGAAAAAAGTAAGAAGAAAGAAGAAAAACAAAATAAATGGGCAAAGAATAAAAATCAAAAACAAAACAAAAAGAAATCAAAAGGTAAAAAGCCAAGAGAAAAGATTAAGTCTCAGTCAGATTCAGATGATGATGAGGAGATGATGCTGTTTGATACAGACAGTGAGCCCGATGCCTTGATAGGAAATACAGCTCCAGACTCTGAACATGCGGAGTGTATTTTCTGTGGCATGCTGTTTTCAAATGATACCCACGGGGAAACATGGGTCAAGTGCCTCATGTGTGGGCTCTGGGCACATAATGATTGCGCAGGACCAGAGTCTGATGCCTGGATTTGTGAGTTTTGCAAATAATTTGAGTTCCTTTTTATGTTATACCAACGTTTCCAAAGAATCTCATTTAAGTTAAGGTTAAATTTTGTTGTTATTTATAGTATTCCATATATGGGGTACCTATTCCATATTTAGATACCTTTATAATTATTTAGTTTTTGTTTTAAATTTTATTTAAAATTTGTCAATGCAATCAAAACTTGTTACAAAATAAAGCGTAAATATATGATTATTATTAATGACTACAAAATATTTTTTATTTGTAAAGTTTGTGCAAATTATGTGTGAAAAACAAAATGGTATTCCATATTTGGTCACTCTCCTCTAGGTATATACAGGGTGGTTAATAAAGCAAAATTAACAGTTACTCAACATTTTTGAATGAAACCCTTTTTTATTTTCACATCTTTTGATACCCCCTTTTTACAAACTTTTTTCTGATATAACATTTATAGGGGGTTTGTATGACTGGCTTTTGAGTTCTTGACTTTTTTACTTTACTGCATGAGGCTGGGTAGATTTGAGTTATAATAACGATACACCAATTCTAAGCATCTCCCGTTAGCAATTAAAAGCTACATTTATTACCTTAAAATGTATTGTAATATTTTTCGATACCTTTGTTAATTTACGAAACTGTAACTGTAACTCAAAAGCTAGTCAAGCCGCCATAAACCTTATATCAAAAAAGCTTCTAGAGAAGGGAACCAAGGGATGTGAAGATATACAGGGTGTTTCACTGTAAAATTTTAAGAAATCATTACATTTGAAAGAAAAATTGATGTTTGGGCCCCCACGCAGTTTTGTATCACGCTGCAGAGATATACATATTTTCTCAGAAGGACCATTCGGTTGGCTACAATTTTTGTAATAATAGCGGAGTTATGGACAGCGTCCACATTAAAGACTCCTGTATATGGTAGGTTGAGAGGGTATTAAAAAAACTTTCGCCTTTTTTAAGCTCTAACGATTTATTATACATCTTATAAAAAATATGTACAAAAAAGACTGATAAGTTATCGATTGATATAAATACGGTACAATCGCATTTTCAGTCGAACATCCTATATTTATAAACTAGGTACGTAATTATGTTTAGTCTACACTATTAAAATGGCTGCAATATAAAAAGGCTGATACAAGTCAGCAGCTTCATTCAATTAGAAACCGCTCAAAGCGATTTATTGAAAATCTACTGCAAAAAGGACGAACCCAATAAGCGAAACATTGTGATTCAATATTTTTGAGTCACAAATATTTCATAGGGGTTCCCTAACAAGGACAGCGATTGCTTACTCACAGTCGGGCTATTTGCATTCATTTGTGCCAAAAAAATCTTCCAGAGCGTTTCCCTAACAGGGGTCAAACATTTTAGTGGCATTTCTTTGGACTTCTTGTCAATTGATAACCTTTGAAAACAGAACCGTTTTTACAGATTGATAGATTTTTGGTGCTAAAACTGAACATTTTGTCACCATAGATACTTGGAACGATTTTCACAAACTGGCAAAGAGTAAAATGGTCTTTAGCTAGTTTATGGGAATAGGAACATATTGTAATATTTTTTCTATAATGATCAGATTTTCAAATTGAAAAGGTTTCGTAAACTGAGATTAAAAAGACATTGACATTTTTGACAGACACGACTGACGACCCGTAGGAGAAAATGTTAAGTTTCAGGCTATTTGAAGGGACAATGTAACTTCTGAAACTAATCCTGTGACTTTGTTGTTGATAATTGTCCATGTTTGTTTGATCGCTGAACGAAACCATATACGTTTGAAATACTACTACAATTACGACGTTTCGGTAAAATTCTGATGACAATGACAATATATTTTTTGATTGTCTGTCTTCCAGGTGACAGTTAATCTGTTTCCACTTTCCACGCCTACTAGTTTAATTTTATTCAATACAATACAGTGTGTTGCGTGTGGCTTGCTTGGATCCGCAGTGACATCATTGCAATTTGATCGTACCGCCTGAAACCAGCAAATTCAAATGGCGCATGAGGAAGGCATTACCGCTCCCAAAAGACGTCTAGGCCCCAAAGCGACAAGCAAGGATGAGGCTATGGAAAACCCATCTAGAACTGTTCTAGCATCATACCGGTTAACTGTTATGCAATCTTCCACTATTAATGCTGCATATACATTGTTCATGGAGCAGAAATGCGAAAATTAGCACGACGACATCTTTTGTCTTTCGAGGAAATAGTACCTGAGTAAGACACAACAGTTTGCAGATGAAATAAAAAACTATACGAAAAATCCTGGAAGTACAGGACGTCTGGTCTGTTAGTCCTGTTGGAGAATGTCTATTAAATATTTCTTCCAAGGATACTTAACCAAACTGGGTCACAGCCCACAGAAGAATTAGACAGACAATAATTTATTTTATACAGGCTAATTGCTTTACATTTATTTTGTAATTGTTATCTTCTCTGTACAATATACCATAAATACTTCCTCTACCCTGGCGGTCCTGGTTACACGGTAGAATGGGTGTCCAGTGGTACCATCTTAAAATTGTAATGACGGTGTCGTGCGATCCCAGCATAGCTCGTATTGTAGTAAAGTGAAAAAAAAAAACAAATCAGCTGTCACCTGGAAGGCAGATACACAAAAAATATATTGTCATCAGCTTTGTCATTTGTACTTGAAAAGGGCCACCGTGGTGGCCAAAACGACCTGTCAGTAAAGAATGTACAGGGTGTTACATAATGTAGCTCCTTATTACAAGGGCGGACTCCTGAACCAAATTTACGTAGAAAAGTTCATAGAGACATGTGTCCTAAAAAACTTGGTTTCCAGGATACAGGGTGTCAAAGGTTTTGTTGATATTTGACAGTTTTGTTCATTGCAATAGGGCGCTAATTTAGCACTAACTGAAAGATAATTATGAATTCCAGTGGTGTCTCGTACCGTAGCATCATGTAAAATATTGTCAAAAAAATGTATACCATTGACTTTTTATAAAAAATATATTTTTTTGTTTGGATTAAACAGTTTATGATTAAACTTTTATATGTCCTGAAACCCCTTCGTATCTTACTTCGTTTTCAAAAAATTAAGAAAAACTTCATTGCATGTCGGAAATTGTTACAATAAATAAATTAGTTTATTTTTTTAAGTATGAGGATTTTAACAATTTTTCGACATGTTGATTGAGATTTTCTCACAACCGATCGCTTTGCTTCCCGTCGATGGGCGTGCACCTTAATAGCGCCTCTCTAGATACTTAGTGCAACAAAAATAACGAATCGTTAAGCGCTCCGTTGCGTTATTTTTGACAGCGACTGCAAATAACGAATGTCGACGAAAAGATATTTTGTATGACCAGTAACGTCAACCCTGGTAATGTGGCAGTACTGATTACTGACAGTCATGACAGGCTGCTTGTTTTTTTTATTTTGACATGAAATTGACTACAAAATCTCAAACTCTTTTTAAAATTTTTCATAGAAAAGTTTCGGTAACAGTTGTGTCCAAATCGCACAAGAAATGAATTGGTTTAAAATCATAGAATGACAAAAGGACAAGTGACATAAAAATGAACAGAAGTGAAATAAAAATTTTCCTATACTCTTATAATATTTTAATCAATATGTTCTCATACATTCTAATTCTTTTAAATTAAGCTTATCCGGTTTTACAAATTTCGGCAACAGCGCTGAATAAGGAAAATATAACAAGCCCTCCCCTATTCTCCATAACTAAGGAGCTTTCTTATTTCCAAAAGCACTAAGAACTCTCTACTATCTTGATTTCTAGATACTATCTTGATGGTTGTAATGTAATGATTGACCGTTTTTGTCCTATCCAGTTTAATATGACATTTGTGAAGAAAACTTTTCCGGACATACGATGTTTACAAAGCGCATTAAGCCGGAAATATCTCAGATGTCTAACGAGCTGTCATATGAAGTGGCAAAGTACATAATAATATCGCAACGACATTGTAACAAAAGTGTCGCCTACGATCCTAAAACAGACATCTGGTAAGCCCATTTTACGACGATCGTAAAAACATTCATTGTTTATGTACCGCCAATGCCAATGCCTTCGCAATAAATTCAGTATACTTTGACAGCATTCTGATTTTCCTTTTCTTTTTAAAGCCGTTGAACGGCCGGCCGTTTTGTTGTATGCCCAAGAAAAAAAAAACACATAATTCTATTTAAAGAGAAGATAAAGCGCATATTGTGTTTAATTGGAGTTTAGGCTTATGCGATGCTATTTCTTCAAATTACATGTATATTTTTCCGGGCAAATAGAGTATTTTTTCATTCTGGTGGAACAAAACAAAAGTATTTATACAGGGTGTCCTCAAAGTTGCGACTTCCCTTTACACAGCGTATAGATCTTGAAAAAATATGCGGGTTTTCCTATCAGAATATACATGAAACTCTTAAGATAACCGAGATATTAGGGTTCTCAAAATTAATCAAACCTAAACCAAACCTAATACGCTCCTGCATCAGACCAAAGATGAGAAGGCATGACGCACGTCAGTACTCAACCCAGGTGCCGGTAGCATATGTAAATAAATACAGCAATATCGAACTTGTCATGAGTTTAATTTATGGTGAGCGTCTTCAAAATGTACCGAGGCTTCGCGAGTCCATGTAGATCGCTTTCCCAGACGTTATCCTTCAGGACCACCTGGATGTATTTACCTTGTTCAAAGAATAGATACAAGAATGCAGGAATGTCGATGTCTCTCACCTGTCACTGAATGGTTCAAACTGAAGAAGGAGTATATAATCTTGTGGGAGAAAATCCTTCAACAAGCACTAGAGAAGTTAGAGTAGTGGCTAGACAAATGCTAGTCTCCAAGACTAAAGTTAAACGCTGCATACAATTTTGTACGCTTGTGTACGAGCCCTTCAGGCCGAGGATTTACCTGCAAGAGTTCGTTTTTTTGAGTGGTTGTTGCAGTCCAAATTGCTCACGAACGAATCAACCGTCACGCGTAACGGGGTGTGTAGTTTTCGCAATACTTATGTGTAGTCATTGGAAAATCCTCTCGTAGCCACATTTTCAACAAACATTTTCTTTGAATATTTGGGCCGGCAAAGTAAATGGTTTTATTTTTCCGAATCGGTTGGACGATTTACACTACCTAGACGTTCAACGAAACATTTTACCCCGACATCTTCGAAGATATAGGTGGTAGAAGTCGTATTTGAAATGTTTCTGTAAATGACAGAATGAAATGAATGAGTATCTTTTCATTTATTTTTTTACCTTTTCGCCACTGTTTGAACACACATTAGCGTTGATATTTCAAGCGTAGTTGTTTCTGACAAGGAAAGTGACAACTTTCAGAACACCTTGCATGGGAGACCGGGGATGGTTGACTATGGGGGTAGGTAGACTAACCGCCAAAAACTCGTTAACGATATGAGTATTACGTCATCCCGGCCCAGCCGCACATTACTCTCCGACCCCCGTTCAGTCATATGGAAGGCCACGTCGCGGATGCACGCCGTTTTTGAATAGTTAGTCAACCAACCCCAATATAATTTGAAGTTTAAAATATCTCGTAAATTAACCTTTTATTCGTGTTTTAATATTCATTTTGTTACAGTACAATGAGGACCTATAAAAGAGGAACTAAACGAGCTGATACACCAAAAGATGTCCTAGAAAGAGCTTGTCACCTAATAATTTTGGACACAAAAAGTACTAATGCAACTTCAAAAAAATATGACATTCCCTATAAGACATTACATCGTTATGTGGCGACACTAAAGGAGAAATTGGAACGTAATCCGAACTTGACGAGAGCAGAATTAACTTTGGACTTAGTGGGATATATTAAAAATAGGTAAGTTTTCACTGGTGAAGAAGAAGCTTTAGCAAGTTATTTAAAGAATGCCGCTAATATTTATTATAGATTGACACCATATGAGACCCGAAAATTAGCATGTCAGTTCGCCATAAAAAGTAACAAAGCTATGCCTGATTCTTGGAGAACAAAATTTTTAGCTGGCGAAGATTGGTTAGGCTCGTTTCTCAAACGTCATCCTTCTTTATCCATAAGGACACCTCAAGCAACAAGCCTTTCAAGAGCTACATCATTCAACAAACGTAACGTCAGTATGTTCTTCGCTAATTTAACTGCTGTTTACCAACGTTTCAATTTAAGCCCTGGTGATATCTGGAACGTTGATGAAACAGGTTTGAAAACCGTGCAAGTACCTAATACAGTAATAGCTCAACGTGGTGTTAAAAATCTAGACAAGATGACATCTGCTGAGAGTGGTACACTGGTGACAGTTGCAGTAGCTGTTTCAGCTGTAGGAAATATAATTCCACCATTTTTCGTAATCCGTCTATTATAAGTCCCATTTTGATAGAGGTGGCCCTATAGGATGTGAAGGTGATGGTAATCCGCCTGGCTGGATGAAAGAAGAGAACTTTATGAAGTACGCCAAACATTTTTTGAAACATGTTAAACCCAGTAAAGAAAAACCTGTACTTTTGTTGTTGGATAATCATGACTCTCACTTATCAATTGAAGCGTTGGGTTACTTTAAAACTAATGGTGTGACAGTTTTATCATATCCTCCACATTCTAGCCACAAGCTACAACCTCTTGACAGATCTGTGTACGGACCATTAAAAAAGTACTTCAATTGAGCATGTGACAACTGGTTGGCTAGTAACCCGGGAAAGACTATCACAATTTATGAAATACTGGAGCTGGTTAAAACGTCACTACCATTGGCTGCTACAATTGAAAATATTCAATCAGGATTCGGAGTATCCGGGATTTCTTCATTGAATGAAAACATTTTCCTGACTACGAGTTTAGTGGTTCTTATGTGACAGATAGGCCGATGCTCACTTCCCCTGATGGTGACTATCCTTCAGCATGTGATGTGAGCACAGTGTCTGTTCCATCGACTTACGATGGATCTAACAGTTGTCTATCGTCGAAGAGGTTCCCATTCCTGATCACCATACAATAACTGAAACTCACTCTCTGGCACCGCAAAGTTTATTTGTAAATACAGACCAGATTACTACCACAACACCCTCTCCTACAAGATCTTTGAGGACTGAATGTGAGTCACCTTCTATTTTTGACGAAACATTCAATTCTGTATTTGAAGCGGAACTGAGAGAAAACCTCAAAACACCAGAAAACGTTCATTCTACAGAAGCAAATGTGCCCGTATCTTTACACAATCTAAACCTTTCCTCAACTTCATCAGCAACATTTGAAGAGCTAAAACCCTCTCCTAAAGCGGTGCCACTTTTAGAAAATAGAAGAAATATTCGGAAACGTAAAAGTACTATATATACCGACACCCCGGAAAAACTAAATCTTTTAGATATGAAAAACAAAAGAGAAACATATAAGAAGAAAAAACATATACAAAGGACAGAATCGAAAAAGGAAAAGTAAACGCATAAGATTGCTTGACACCGTCGATGAAAATTTCGGTAATGCTGTAGATTCAGATGACGAGAGTACGATTTGTTTAGAGAACATTGAATCCTACGTCGATAGTGTTCCAGGCGAACAATGGATTCAGTGCATAACTTGTAAGTTATGGGCTCATTCCAAATGTGTAAGAGGTGATCTTATGTTTTTTGAATGCAAACATTGCGCTTCTGATATTGAAGACTTATAAGATACAAAGGAACTGTTTAATTAATGAAACTAATAAATGTTTAAATAAAAACTGGGAGTTGATAGCTTTGTTAAAGACTTATTGTAAGATAATGTCTGTAACTGATTAAAATTGTTTTGAATAAAAAGTTTTGTTAAATTATAAAAAAAGTTTCATAACTTGAATCTTCTCATAATTTGTCACTTATTGATACATAAGTCTACATACCCGGTCATATAGTCAATCTACCCCGGAGCCGGGGTAAATTGACTAAGAATTGGTGTTGTGTAAAATGCGTTAATTTATGATCATTATATTGAATAATGGACTAGTTTTTATATTTTTTTATACGTTCAATAGCTCATCTATCCATTGATGCAGTTTTATTGTCTGTAGGTATGTATAAAAGCACAAAAAATATGTATGATGTAAAAAACAAGTCAACCATCCCCGGTCTCCCCTATATTTTGTTCATTATTTGTACTTAAAAAACATATTTTTTGTTGCTCTTCGCGTTATTTAACAAATAGTCGCCTTCCTTAAAGACAAATAACACCCTGTATCTTGTTAATGAGATATTTTAGGATTTGTTGATATTTTGGAAGAACTTAACCCTAGAAATATTTTTTTGAAACACTCTGTATACCATTTTTTGAGTGTTCATTACTACAAATAGTTCCTACTTTTAGGGAATAAGGTAAGCTTAGTTTGTGTATGACTATAACAAGCCATTTGCGATTTGTTAGGAGTCAATCACATACTGGCAGTGACGGGCGCGTTAAATTTATCACCTAAGACCTAAGTTATACGCTGGATACAATATTTGTAATTGTATATGTCGTCGTACCAATGTATACAATGTTGACAATGCATGCAATGGCAAATATTAGTACATCTAGGCCGCTTGCATATGGATAAACCCAAATATCACTGAAGAGGTAATGCGTACGAGAGAGAAGAGTACGCCAATAGCAACGCGGTAAACCGCAGCTATGTCCGTCGCCTCGTCACTAGGGTAATGCTAGGCAACGTCATGCTTCTATCTCTTTCTAACATACGTATTTCACGCTTCTCTCTCGTATACATTACGACGTCAGTCTGTATATTATGTAATGCCTTTACAAATGATTTTGAATAATTAGAAAAGGCATAAATAATTATGGATATATTATTTGTATATACAAAGGTATAGCTTTAAATTAATAAGGCACATTTCTTAAATAAAAAACATCCTGGAAACAAAATCCACCTATTTGACTGATTTCATTCAGCGTCGCTAGCGTTCTCAAGGCAATATTTGGATTGACAAGGACGTTACCGGACAACCGTTCGGACTAACACATGGTTTGTTACTTCTTCTTAGTATATCTATGCGATTTTAAGCGTTCTCTCCCAACTATGACCTTGATAATGACCTCGACGAGAAGCAACATATTGTAAGATCCGTCAGGAGATATTTTAGGGCCAACGGCGTCAGTGGCAGTAGTGCTTCCCTTAGTGATTTTTCCTCAGAGGAATCTCCAGAAGATTCCTCAATTGAAGAGCTACACGGCACATCAGCGGAATCTCCTGAGACTCCGCATTGCACACCAGCAGAGCTCCAAAGTCATATTAAAGACCTTAAAGCACCTGGAGAGGATCGAATCACTAACAAGTCGCTGAAGCTACTTTCGCGGAAGTCCTTAACTTATCTCGTGGCAATAATCAATGCCATGCTAAGGACCCAGCACTTCCCGACGGCGTGGAAGACCGCTGATGTCATAATGATTCCAAAGAAGGTGGGTTCGATATTCCCCCAGGATTACCGCCCCATTAGTCTACTGTCAGCTTCTTATAAACTCGCTGAAAAGGTGATTCTACGTCACCTTGAAAATTTCTCGGCAGACCACAATGTGATTCCTGACGTGCAATTTTTCGGTCTGAGCATAGTACGGAGCGACAGGCCATAAGGCTTGTTGAACGAGTAACCAGGGGTTCACCCGTAATGAAAGTACTGGCATCTTGCTACTGGATGTCTCAAAGGCATTTGACATGGTGTGGCACAAGGGCCTTCTCTATAAATTGATCCATAAGGGCTTCCCCTTCTGGCTCCTAAAACTTTTGAAATCCTTTCTCGAGGGTAGGAAATTTCGGATCAAAATTAATAACGTTCTGTCGACAACACGGCCCATCAAAGCCGGTGTCCCTCAGGGTTCGATTCTTGGACCAGTCCTTTATTCACTTTTTATTCATGACGTCCCTTGCCCTAGCAGCTGTGAAACCTATCTCTATGCTGGTGGCCCAGTCGTGCTCTGGGGATCTAGCTCACGACAGGCTGCAAAGTGCAGTAGACGAGGTATTGGAATGGGCGAATCGGTGGCTGATCAAAATTAATCATTCGAAAACGCAGGCAATCTATTGTACCAAAACACGTAGCGGCGTCCCGTCTGAGGTTTCATTGAATGGAGCTCGGGTACCATGGGAAAGCTCTGCTAAGTATCTAGGTGTCACTCTTGACAAGGGAATAACCTGGCAGAAGCACACTGAAGCGTTAAAAACTAAATTCCAAATCTCGTTTCGGCAACTCTACTCTATGCTATGTAGAACATCAAAATTAAGTTTGTTCAACAAAGTTCGTCTATACATGATGGTTATTAGACCAGCGATCACTTACGCAAGTGCGGCTTGGTGTTTTCTCGCCAAAACGCATTTGCGTAGCCTGCAGGTTTTTGCAGAACAGAACCTTGCGTACAATCACTAACGCCCCATGGTATGTTTCCAAAGAGACCCTTCACAGAGACCTTGACATCCCTTACCTAAGGGACTACACAACAAGCGCAGCTACGTTACAGTCAAGCAGAATCGCATAACAACCCTTTGTTGCGCGAGTCAGTAGACTACACAGTCGAACAAGTTCGCAAGCACACAAGGCCGCGACTCGCACTGTGAACAAAATTAAATCGTGCGACTTTAGGTCCAACCAAAATTATAATTTTTCTTCAACAACCAATCCCAAATTAATTTTAGGATCAATTTAAAATTGCCGAATACTAACTAGCAATGCCAAGGCACCCCTCAAATTGATGCACTTCTTTTCTTTGCTCTCCCTCCTTCCTTCCTTTTTTCTTCCCTTCTTTCTCCCTGACTTTGTTTGGTATCTGGGCAACCAGACCTGACAGACCTACCGACTTACAAGACTTCAACCAAGAGCAAAGGTCTACGGACCGCTCTGACAGACAATGACGAATAGTGTGCGATTTTAAGCGATATATAGCTGAATTTGCCAACTTTTTCTATAGGTATAGTGCATGAACGAATTATTTTTTTTCATCTTTTAACAAAATAAAACCATAGCTTATGATTTCCTTATTTTTAGCGCGCCCATTTTATAATTGCTGTTTTGACGTTTTCGAGTAAGCCTAAACTTATTGATATTCTTATACATTGTCTTCATCATTGCATACATTGTATACGCATTATACATTGTATACATATTGTGTACCTCGAAACGTAGATAATCAATGCATACGCCGACTATCACTGCATACTGGTTGCTGAAATAAAGTTATAATAGCACTTTTCATGAAAGTCGTTGATCGGTAAGTCTTTTGTTCAGCGTCGTCGATTGGTTGATTATGCATTCAGTACATCATGCCGGGATGCATTCCTGCGGCGCTTCCTCTTGGAAGTACACGTTCGGGTTGCTGCTCAACGTCGGCTCCAGCGTCGTATACACGTTGCCGTCGTCGGGTCGGAGAAATACACCACCTACAACACAAAAACGGACGTTAGTCTTTGTCTCATACCCCATGGATGAATCAACAATGGTCGCATTCGCAGGCAACGCGGAAAAACGGATTATGACAGACTCCGCACAAAAACATACCGAAATATGTAGGCTCCAGTAGCAATCAGTAGTTTAATCATCTCTAATAATAATAATGTTTATTGCCACAAAATACAGGTAAATATCAAATATTGTGCACAATAAACATAAAGCACCCAAAAAAAGTTTGCACTTGTGTTTGAGTTTGTTAGAAATAAAAAACTAATAGTACAGTCAGTGTATGAAAAAAAAACCGTTAATACTGTATAATTTGGTGAATTATTATGGTAATGTCAGGAAAAATATCCAGACATTATAACTAAAGTAAAAGTATGGATGTTAGTGTAAGTAAAATATTATTGATTTTGATAATGATTTTTCGAATCTACAATTTCGTTGGATGGAGTACCTTGGTTGTTGTAAAATCCAATTTTTTTAATGATTTATTTGATTTAATTACTTTAATGACTCTGGTATGAAGTTATAGAATTTTGGTACTAGAAAAACAGAGATCGTTGTGTAAGGGTTTTTGTTTTGATATTTGTGG